CGAGGGCCAAATCTCGAGACATTTTCAAAATTCCGTTCCGCTGGGGCCGGCCTGGGTGCAATCGTGGGGCTACTTAATGAGGGCTAGTAGCACGACCGGCGGAGACGACCCCCCTTGAGACATCCTCGAAAGGTCGCCTGGGCGGACGTTCTCGCATGCTTATCGTGGCGCGCTAGTAGGACACCCTGCGGGTCGTGCGAATGGGCGCACGTGGGCCTTGCGGGCACGACTTCCTTCCGCCCGAGGTTCTGCCCGCCAGACTCGCCCGTGAGGTCCCAGCCGCCTGGTCCGCCCGCTCGGGTCCGCCAGCCCGACTGCCCCGCCCGTCTTCCCCGTATTTGTTTTATCGCGGTGCTGCTACTGTTCTTTACACTCCCGCTTCGTCTTCGTTATCGGACGCACTAGTCAAAACGAAACCCTGGTTGCCTGCGATACTCCGACCCGTTCTGCTTCGATATATACCCGGCGGGGCCCTTGGAAGCTCTCTCAGGGAGTTCGTCCGATTCATTATTCTTCTGTCCTCTTCCTCTTTCGTCCCTCCCATGCTCGTTTCTGCACGGACCCGCCCTGGCGGTCCGATTCGCCTCCGGGCCGGTTTGGCCTGACTCGCTTCAACCCTGGGACGCTTCCGCCTCGTTCTGCTCGGCTCAGTTCGCTTTGCCCAGCTCTTTTTTGGAACCGACCTGCAACGACCCAGGTCACTTTCGGCGGGGTCCTATTCTGCTCGATCCTCCTCAGCCTGGCTGGCCCCGTCCCGCCGACACACCCAACGGACCGTTCGGCCAGACACCCTCGGGGCCGAAACAGGCAGTGGCCGAAGCAGCTCTCGGCCGAACAGGGCCTGGACGAAAACGGCCTCGGCCGAAGCGGCCCTCAGCCGAAGAGGCCTTGCATCATCTCACGCCATCTCGGAGGCAATCTTGGGCTGTCCAGGGCCATTCTGGGGCCAGCTCCGGCCATCTTGGACACCGATCGGACGACCACCCCCTGGCCCAGACCCCTACGGAGGCAGTGTTGTGGCCAGTCGCCTCCCCCCCCTTGACGTGGATGGAGCTGCTTTGGGAGAGAAGGCGTTCTGAAGCACCCACGTGCGCCCAAATCGCTGGTGGAACTGCTGCTGCTGGTGGGTTCGCGGCACCAGTGCGTCTGCATCGCGCTGGCGGCGTGCGTCTCGGGGTGCAGTTTGCTCGGCGGTGTCTCTGGCACACAGGGCGAGCCCGTTGGAGGAGGAGGGGGGGGAGGAGGAGGAGGAGGAGGAGGAGGAGGAGGAGGAGGAGGAGGAGGAGGAGGAGGAGGAGGAGGAGGAGGAGGAGCTGAGGAGGAGGAGGAGGAGAGGAGGAGACGGAGAGGAGGAGGAGGAGGAGGAGGAGGAGCAGGAGGAGGAGGAGGAGGAGGAGGAGGGAGGAGGAGGGAGGAGGAGGGGGGGAGGAGGAGGAGGATGGAGGAGGAGAGGAGGAGGAGGAGGAGGAGGAGGGGGAGGATGAGGGGGAGGAGAAAGAGGAGGAGGAGGAGGAGGAGGAGGAGGAGGAGGAGGGAAAGCCGGCTGTTACTCAGAGGGGGGAGAGCCAGCTCAGAGGGCGCGAGTGCCGTTGCCGCTCGGGCTCGGGCAGTCCGGGAGAAGCGGCACGCCATCGAGTCGCTGCAGTTCGTTGGCGCTGTGCCCACTTCATGCGCCATCCATCCCCCCTCTTTTCCTGCATCTCCACCTCTCAGGCGCATGCAGTCCGAATGTGGCAGTTCACTTTGGGCCGCTCTCGCAAGCTGTGTTGCGTCCGCTCTATACTCCCCCCGTCCTCTTGGCCGAAGCAGTTCCAAATGAAGAGCTCATGCTGACCTGGCTTCGCTCAGTTGTCTTGCGCCCCCAGATGCGCCCCTGCCTTACGTCTTGCTCGAGCGACCCAGCAGGAAGAGTTCGCGTGGAAGTTATTTTATCAAGGTGCATCGCGGCCACTCCATGCATCAAGGGAGGAAAAACCACCCGGACCGGACAATTGTCGTTTATTAAACGGCCTTGGACGTTTACTAAACAGCCCTGCCTTTTTCGATTCCTTCAGTGGGGGCGTTTAGTAAACGGCTTCGTGTGTCGGGGTGGTTATTCTGGGGGGGGATTCTTTTGCCTTCTAATACAGCCCTCCATCTGCATCCTCCTGGCTTCAGCCATCCGGTTGGGGCGGATCACTCCCGAGCTCTCCCTGTGAAGGTGTACTGCGCTCTCTCCCCTCTCCCCCTCGTCAGCCGCCCCTTCCCCCCTGCCTCCTCCTGGATCAAGCAATCCCCGAGCGGGACGGCTCATCGTTGCGTGGCCTTCCCCAGCTCCCCTGTGAAGGTGTATTAGGCTCTCTCCCCCCTCTTCCTCGTCGTGCGCCCCCTATCCCCCCCGCCTCCTCCTGGATCAAGCAATCCCCCAGCGGGACAACTCATCTTTGGGTGGCCTTCCACAGCTGTACTGCACCCACTCCACATACCCACGGTGGCCTCGCCCCTTCCTGCGAGCCCGGGCGGCCGAGGCAAGGGCAAGACGGACCCTGGCCGGGCCGTCTGATTTCCCAGATGCGCTGCGTCGGCAGCGCTTGATCGCTTCGAGTTGGCCTTGCCAGAGCCTGCTCGAACGGATGCGCGGCCGACGTCCGACGTCGTGAAAGGCCTCGGCCTCGCGCAAAAGCACGGCGATCGAGTTCTCACCCCCATTTTTCTGCTCCTCCCCAGACCTCCGACGTCGCGATTTTCTCGAGGCACGGGCCCCCGACCTCCCGGCCACTGCCCCGGGACCAGCTTTTCGTCTGGAGCCGCTCTTTGACGGTCCCGAGGCCCGGCGAGGGCCCCGACGATTTTTTCTCGAAGCTCGATGTTTCCGATTTTGTCGTCATTTTCAGCTTTTCTCGAAAACGCCTCGACGTATCGATTCTTTCGGAACGCCCGACGTCTGGGTCTGTGCGGGGTGCGCCGGGGCGCCCCGAGCAGGGAAGGCCCGAGGCGCCTCCGGCCGAGGCGGGGCGGCCGCGCCCCCACCCTTCCGGGACCCTCCCAGCGAGAATTTTCCTTTTCTATTTCCTCTCCTCCTCCTCCTCCTCCTCCTCCTCCTCCTCCTCCTCCTCCTCCTCCTATTCTCCTCCTCCCCCTCCTCCTCCTCCTCCTCCTCCTCCTCCTCTCCTCCGTAGCCATTTTGGCTCAAGAGTCCATGTCAGGAGGGGAGCCCCGCGCACGCGCTCCCAGCTCTCTTGCATGTCGATGGTGGCGTCTCTTGCCCCTGCTCGCGGGGTGGAGCCTATGCTGTGATATGGTGCACACGCGGAGTGCAAGCGCTCGCGAGGCTCGGCGTCTTCGAGCTGTGCGTCTCCACTTCGTTCGCCCTCGGCCTTTTCAACAGCGCTTCATTGAGGTTGCCGAGCCTCTCGTCCACAATGCTCGTGCTGTTGTCCGTGGGCTTCAATTGCATGCTGACCTTCAACAACGTAATGGATTTCGCTCTCATCTCCTTCGCGACGCTGTTGCTGCGGCTGGGCCGGCGCTCACCGCCGAGGAGCGGCAGACGATGCTCAAGGAGAACTCCCGCGCTGGGCGGGCCAAACATCGTATTCCTCTTCTACCTGCCGATGGTGCGCCGCAGCCTGTGGCGAGTCCCCCTTCGCCTCCGAGAGTGGCGCTCCGTCTGGATGAGCGTTTGTCCGCTCCGTCTGCGGACACTCTGGTGGCAATGTCGCACATGCTTTCTGCCTTCGCGTTCGGGCTGCAGTCGATGTTCGCCTCCTTCAACCAGCCCATGGTCTTCCCGATCGCAACGTGCTTCGACTCTGACATCCCACAGGTGGCGTCCTTCATCGCTGACCTGCAGGTGAACCGATGCTCGTCTTCTCCACCTTCCTGCTCGCCGCCTGGTGTGCGCGCTCCCTCATCGTCGCCTGCGTGTGACCACCACTCCGACTGGAACATCGATAAGGAGTTCGAGCTGCGGAGGTTCGAGGACGCTGAACTGCATGCTAACGCAAACGCATTTGTTGATCATGATGATGACGAAGTTCTGCACGCTGAAGACAATTCACAACTTGCTGACGACGATATACTGCAAGCCGACGACCATGTACAACATGCTCACGGTGCTGCTGCACCTGCTGAGGACGCTCGGCCTGTCGCCCATCTTCCGGGTGGTGCGGTCCTGCGTCCGCTTGTTCCTGCTGCGGGTCTGGACCGTGCTGGCGATCGTACTGTCGGTCTGCTTGGAGGTGCGGGCGGGGCTCATCGCTGCCCCAGGGCGGATCCGCTCGGCTCCCGTGCGGACCCCCCTGGGAGTGATGTTGCTCCCCTAGTTTCGCCTAAGCTCGTTCCGTCCACGGGCGACGCGACGTGCGCTACTGGCGTTCTGCATGGTTTCGATTATCACTGCTTGAAGGTGTTGGACGTGGGCCCGCGGATTGCGACGAGGCCTGCCTGCAGGTTCTTCCCAAAGTGTGCGAACGGCGACGGCTGCAAGTTCTCCCACCTTCTGGCGACCACTGTCTCGGCGGTCGATGCCGAGCACGAGCGCCTTTCGAAGATCTTTTTGGAATTTGGGTCGGCGGCGCCTCTTGCTGCGGAACATTGGCATGCCCGCGCTGCTGGTCGCAGCGCCCTGGAGGTCTTCGAGCTCTGTCGAACAGCCGGCCAGCTGGATAGCGACGCTCTGCATGATCTTCTCGCTGATGTTGACCACCAACTGGAAGGCGATGACTTACACGTGCATGGAGGTGCCCAGGCAGGTGATGAGTTGCCTCCCGATGTCCGTGTCGATGTTCCTCCTGATGCTCTCCCTCATGGTGTCGACCTCCAGCTGGAAGGTAATGACCCGCGTGTGCATGGAGGCTCCCAGGCAGTTGATGAGCTACCTTCCGAGGATGGCGCTGCTTCGCATAACTGTGGCGGCGATCCCGCTGCTGGTGCTCTCCCTCATAGTGTCGATCACCAGCTGGATGGCGATGACCTGCATGAGCATGTAGGCACACAGGCAGTTGATGAACTACCCCCCGATGCCCGTGGCGACGTTCCTCCTGCTGCTCTTCCGCATGACTGTGGCGGGGATCACGCTGCTGGAGCTCAAAAATCTGGATTTGGGAAATACACTGGCGCGCTTCATAAACGGGACGATGAACACGACCACGATGAGCTTCTACCTGATACGCTGTTCTGTTGGTGCGATGTCTCTGGTGACGAGGCGGCCGCGCTTCAACAAGCTCGGCTCGATCGGGTGCGCGAAGTTCTGGGTGACGTGCCACTGCCTGCTGCTCGTCTCCCTGCTGTGGCTGCCTGCCACGCTGGCCATGTCGACCGTCAGCTGGCTTTCAATGACCTGCATATGCATGGAGGCGCCCAGGCAGTTGTTGAACCCCCACTCGGTGGCCGTGGCGACGTTCCTCCTGATGCTCTTCGGCATAGCCGTGGCGGTGATCACGCTGCTGGAGCTCTCCCTCACGGCGTCGACCACCAGCTGGATTGCAACGGAACGGGGATTCTGCCCCCGCCTCGTGACAAAGAAACGGGGATTCAGCCCCCGCACGCCGAAGACCACATGTGGATCTACGCGGGCAAGGGCCTGGTTCGGTACATACCGCTGCGGTGGACCTCTCCATCTACGGGCGTTCGCTGGAGTGCTTCGCGTTCCTCTTCGTCCCTTTCGGCTTGTGTCGTGCCCTCCGTCTTGACGGACTTGGATGACGAGGCCGAGGACGACGATTTCCTGGACCCGGACTTCTTGGACCGCCTTGCTGAGGCCGAGGACGTGCTCCTCAACTCCGCTATTGATATGCTCAACTACGACGATAACTACAGCTACGACTCCTACACGCCCGACCGCCTGGACACCTTCTTCGAGGGCCTGAGAGGCTCGGCGCAGGCGCGGCCCTAGGCAGGGAGGGATCTCTTCGGTACGCTGTCCTCCTCCTCCTCCTCCTCCCCCTCCTCCTCCTCCTCCCCCCTCCTCCTCCTCCTCCTCCTCCTCCTCCTCCTCCTCCTCCTCCTCCTCCTCCTCCCCTCCTCCTCCTCCTCCTCCTCCTCCTCCTCCTCCTCCTCCTCCTCTAGAGCTCTGGACCATTCCCGCACTGGGCTGGCTCGGCATCCCGGGTGTCGTTTCTGTTGGCAGTCCCAGTGTTCGGCGAGGGCTCCCAAACGCAGATGACTTCGCCAAATTTCAGTATTGAGTTCAGTCGTTTCGCTCATTCGGCTGGCCTCTACTGTATGCTGTGTGCAGTGGCCCTGGACAAGAGGCCTTGTTGGGAGGTTTGTTGGGGTCTCTCTGGGGGCCTCTCGGGGGCCTTGTGCTGGCACTCTGAGGCTGCTTGGGCCCGCCCGCGGATTCTTCCGATCCCCTCCTGGAGTTTTGGGCCTCGGTCCCTTCCTGGAGGACGAGGAGGAAGAGATGGAGGAGGAGGAGGAGGAGGAGGAGGAGGAGGAGCATGAGGAGGAATGAAGCGGAGGAGGAGGAGAAGGACCAGTGCAAGCCCAAGACTCATCAACGATGCTGGAATACACCCTCCCTCCAAGCTCCCTCTTCATAGGCCCCTACAAGGATTCATCTCCACTGAGGAAAGCGCCCCGTTGGGAGACAACCGTGTGAAAATCCTGACGCGTGCCCAAACATCATTCTCAGGACTTCAAGGCCACGAGTCAACCTGAGTGTTCCGTCTTGGCGATCTTGAATCGTGCCAGAACGCCGAATCAACGTAACTGTTGCGCCCTGACAGCCCTGAATCGTTCCAAGACATCCTTTCTGGTACGTCAACCATGAGAACCCGCTTAATTGCTGCAATGTTTGTTGGGACGACTGCGCGCAGCGCTAAGGCGAGAGCCACATTGCGCAAAGGGACAGATCCCAATCCGTGCGAGAGCCACATTGTGAAAAGGAACAGCCCTCAATCCGTGAAACTCTTGCATTTGTTTAAGCGAGTGTGCGCAGCGCTAAGGCGAGAGCCACATGTTGAAAACGAACCGCCCTCAATCCGCGAGGCTCTGGCTTATCTTCTAAACAAGGGAATGCGCGCGGCGCTGAGGCGAGAGGAACATTTTGAAAACCACCTGTCCTCAAGTCCTCGAAGTCTTGCATTTTTCTTTTATGTCTAGGTGCGCGGCGCTAAGGCGAGAGTGACGCTTTGACAACGGCCAGCCCTCAGCCCGTGAAGGTTTTGCAACTTTTCAAACGAATGTGCGCGGCGTCAAGGCAAGAACCACATGTTGAAAACGACCTGCAGTCCATCTGTGAAACTGTTGCCAGCTTCTTATCTTCAGGCTCATGAGTAGTAAGGAAGTCTCAGGCGAAACGCCAGGCCCGCCCTTCCGTCTGGCCTCGGGGTGCGACAGGGAGGAGTTGTCCACAAGGAGAAGGAGTTGAAGAGGAGGAGGAGGAGGAGGACGACGACGACCACAAAAACGACGACGACGAAGGAGGACGGGAAGGAACACGAGGGAAAGGACGTCCAAGAAGGCGGGGGGTCCTCGGTCCTCCACTGCTCTCCTAGGCCGGGAGCGTCGCCACCGTGGCACCGTACGCGGCCGCGCCATGGCTCCGTCCGGCGCCGGGAGGGCGCTGGTGCTCGCGGGGGTCTCGTCGTTGGCGAGGGGTATCACCCTCGGCGCGCGGCAGCTAGAGGAGCTCGGCCTGTCGTCGTCGTCGTCGTCGTCGTCGTGGTCGTTGTCGTGGTCGCCGTCGTCGTCGCCGTCGCCGTCCTCGTCGCCGCTGTCGTCGTCGTTGTCGTTGTCGTCGTCGTCGTTGTCGTCGTCGCCGTCGCCGCTGTCGTCGTCGTCGTCGTCGTCGCCGTCGTCGTCGCCGTCGCCGCTGTCGTCGTCGTCGTCTTCGGCGTCGTCGTTGTCCTCGTCGTCATCGTCGTCGTGTCGTTGTCGATTCGTGGACCTGTGAGGGCGTCCAGTGGGCCTCTTGGCCCTCTCGGAGGCCTGTTGGGCTCTCCTGGAGGCGTCTTGGGGCGCGCTCAGGGCCATTGTTGGGCATCTTGGGGGCCTCTATATATGGGGAAGGGGCGACGAGGTCTGGAAGGAAGTGGGTTCCGGAGGGAGGGCTTGGGGGAGGGTGGAAGAGGTATATATCTCTTCCTCGGCGAGTGTATATAGAGAGAGAGAGAGAGAGAGAGAGAGAGAGAGAGAGAGAGAGAGAGAGAAAGGCCCATACGTAAGACATGCAGGATTGTGTACACAAGAGAAGGCAAATCTATAGAAACATACGTACGTCGTCCAAGGCGCCTCGGAAGGCGCCTCGGAAAGCACAGAATACTCCTCCAAGGCGCGGAATCATGTTCCCGGACCGCCTTCCGGGAACATGATGGGGACGACCTCCTGAGGGCGTTTTGGGGGTCTCTTTATATATATATATGGTTACAGCGCCCTCTGAGATCTACCTTTCAAACATGAATGTACCTTTCCTTTTGTATACAAATGAAATAACAATCAACTCATTTAATCTATTTAACTATTTGATTAATTTAATTCAATGAATTCCTTTACTTTATTATTTAATTTATTTAATTCATTGAATTTATTTAATTTGGATACACCTTCATCTGCCAAGGAGGTGACAGAGGGAAGGGGTTCCCAGGGCCATTAAAAATTAAATAAATTAAGTAAATTAAATAAATTAAATAAATTGAATAATTCCTTGCGTTTTTTGCATTTACACTAGGAAACCTATTGTGTAATAAAAAAACACAGGAAATCATTTAATTCATTTAATTTATTTAATTTGTTTAATTTATTTAATTTATTTAATTTTAATACACCTCCATCTGCCGAGGAGGTGACAGGGGGAAGGGGTTACCAGGGCCATTAAAAATTAATTAAATTAAATGAATTAAATAGATTAAATAAAATAAATAAATTAAATAAATTAAATAATTCCTTGCGTTTTTTTTTTGCATTTACAATGGGAAACCTAATGTGTAATAAAAAAACACAGGAAATCATTTAATTTATTTAATTTATTTAATTTATTTAATTTATTTAATTTTAATACACCTCCATCTGCCGAGGAGGTGACAGGGGGAAGGGGTTACCAGGGCCATTAAAAATTAAATAAATTAAATAAATTAAATGAATACATTAAATATTTCCTTGCGTTTTTTTGCATTTACAATAGGACACCTATTGTGTAATTTAAAACACAAGGAACCATTTAATTTATTTAATTTATTGAATTTATTTACCTTATTTAATTCCAATACACCTCCATCTACCGAGGAGGTGATAGGGGGGAAGGGGTTATCAGGGCGATTAAAAATTAAATAAATAAATTAAAAAAAAAAAATAAATAGATTAAATAAATTAAATAAATTAAATAAATTAAATAAATTAAATAAATTAATTAAATAAATGAAGTAATTCCTTGCGTTTCTGGCAGTTACAATAGGAAACCTATTGTGTACAATAAGAACTTATTTTGGAATAAACACGCAGGACATTAAAAGGAACATGCGATTGGAAGTGTCGGCGATGCAATGCCAAGAGAGATTTGGATGATTTTCCTGTGCACCACGCGCACCAGCTCGTCAGTGTCCAAAGAACAACATAATGGAGAGAGCATGATTCAATAGCTATTTGACATGACATGTCCCATGGCTTTCCATTTGTCATCGTGTTCGTTCCAATACTTCCACTGGAACTCTCTCGTATACAAATCTACAATGTCATCGCGCGCTTTAATCGTTTCTGGTACTCCATTGTTTTTTTTTCAAAAGACCCCATACTCGATCAATAATCTGAGTTCCTTTCTTAACCCATCGCTTGACAAATTTAACATTCGACGTCCCCAATAGATTTGTCTTGAGATAATCCAACGGCAATCGGTGGCACCATCGCGCAGCATGCACTGGTCGAGGCCGCTTGTGCTTGACAGTGTCGACGACTACACCAGGCACCTTGGTGAATCGGTAAGCTCTGGCCCCGTCGCTGTGTAGAATGATTTTGCGCCGCTTTAGGAACTTGTCGCATATGGTTTCCATTCTGCTTTTGAGATTGGCCCCGAAGATGCGAATGCACCTTTTCCTTTGCCGTGCGCCTTTTGCTTTAGTGGTTTTTGATTTCATCTTTACCAATGCCAAACTTCGGCGGTCGCCTCTGGTTATCAGACCGCAGTATTGCACCCAGGTAATTCGCATACCATCTTTACTTTTGGCCCCTCGAACAGACGTCATCCACTTCCACTTCCGTCCATTTCTGTTGATCTTCAAAAACCATTTTTGATTGTTGCCGCAACACATAGCGACGAACAGCCCGGAGCCATCTTTTGTTCGCGCGCTCTATAACCTTTTCTGAAATACCAGTTATTAAATGCATCTTCCCCGACGGGATGCCCACTGCTCTACCGAACAAAACTTGAGCTTGCTCATTCAATGAAATTTTACGACTGCCCCATCCTAAATTGAATATCGGATGGCACGAGCGTGGATACACGAATTTATTGCAGCATTTTGCGTTACATCGATGAACCCATCCTCTTTTCTCAACGCGTCGCAGGGGCTTCAGCGAAGCGCTGCCACACAGAGGGCACACGCCTTCGAAGTTTTTCAACAGACCAATGCTACGAAGATGTTCGATGGTTTGGCGCTCAGTCATCTGCGCCAACCTGGTCAAATTCATGCACCATTCTTGAGAACGGCATCCTCTGCTCATTGTGTCTACTTTCTGGCCAATAGGCACGCATGGAACTTCCTTGGGAACGCGTCTCAAACCGCCCGCTTTGTTTTTGAATTTGGGTAGCTTCCCACATAACAGTCTGCCTTTGCCACGCTTCGGCGATGGATAAGAATGATGCGAAGACGACGGCCCGCGCAAAATCAACCGCTTTGCACCCGCCTCCAAATCGAGTAAAATATTCTCTGGGGCATTCCCATCCAATGGGAAGTCCGT